GTAATCAAGACCAGTCGAACATCCGGGCCCTTTAAGCCACCGTCTCAAGACGTGTTTAAAATCTGCCCTTGCTACAGTTTTGAAGAGTTGTATAAGGAACATCGGGTTACCCCAGGTGGCGCCTTCCAAGCTGGAATGCAGCTGGCGCTCGCGGAGATTGCTGGAAGATGTATGAGTGTGAACGAAGTGGTCAGCATAAGGTAAATTTGAAGCACAATTGAAAAGAAAACCTAAATAAATAATGTACAAACGATCAAACCAACAAACCAACAAACCGACAAACCGACAAACCGACAAACCGACAAACCACTGAACAAACCAACTGTAACAAACCAACAAAAGATCAAACGAACAAACGAACAAAAATAACGAACAAACCAACAAACGAACAAACGAACCTGAGCGAACGAGCGAATGAATGAATGAATACATAACCGACCTCATAGGTGGAATGACATTGATGGACAGCAGTATGGCAGACATGAAGAAATTCGTCGAAGAAGCCCGCAAATCACCTCTCAGCATTCAAAACACGAGTGAGCAGGAACGCTTGGCACTTAAGTCTCTACTGAAAAAAGCGATTCAAAGCTACAAAGACGAAGTTCTGCGATATAAGAACGGCGAAATCGATCTATGGATTTAGACTCTGTATAGAAATCTTGGTCTGACCAATCGCCTTCCATTTCCAAAAAGCTCCACAATTAGGACTGTTGAAAAATGTAAAAGAAATTGCGATCGGGAGGCCTGGGGTCAAGTGCATTCTCCCATCCACATCAATGGCCCTACATTACATGTTTGGGAGAAATGCGATTTCCATCACAGTGAACGCAAATCCTGATCATCCTTGCTATAAAAATGAGGAGGCCTTTGTCAAAGAACTTGAGAAGTCTTTGCAATTAGTCAAAGATTTGCTTAATACAAAATAGTAACAAATTGCGATCTACAACTGTTTCAGTAAAATATAGCGGCATTCCATTACCATTGTATTTCGAAGAAATCAAGAAAATGAAGAAACTTCTTAACCACAGATAACAAGTAAGCATAAAATATACAATGTACACTCTTTAACCAGGCTCTCGCCTGTGACACATTCAGAAGTCGAGTTTGTCGTTAGGTATAACAAGGTATAATCAAGAGAAAATGATATAATCACGAAAACTAAAAGACGAAAACTAACCCCGACATCTGTTTGTGTCAAACATAACCAGTTACATGTTATTTCGAAAAAAAAGTGGCCAACATGGATGACAGATTCTAAGGTGTTCAGATCACGGTTTTGGCATTTAAATTATGAAATAATCGCAGGATCAGATTGTACTCCACGGCGAGCTAGGCAGCTCTGCAGTTTTCAGAAGCTCTCTCGTCTGAACTGGTTGATACTCTACACAAAGGCTGCAATTACTCATTGCTTCCGCGAAATGATTGCTCATACCAGACCGAAATTAAACCAAGCATCCTTGACCCGTCTCAGACAAGCTTGTTGTCGTTGATTCGCTTTATTATTTCTTTGAGTAATGCAGTCCCGTTGTGCACTCCGATTTCATCCCGACATATCCTTATACTTAACAGTAAACTCTTTTCATAAACGACTACCAATTTTTGAATAATTCTTCTTCTGTCATTTAATAGTTCGTATTGTGTGATCGTCCGGGTGAGGGTAGTTCTGAAAAGAACTGTTGCTGGTGACTGACGTTNGATCGAAGCGATCGGGAGGCCTGGGGTCAAGTGCATTCTCCCATCCACATCAATGGCCCTACATTACATGTTTGGGAGAAATGCGATTTCCATCACGGTGAATGCAAATCCTGATCATCCTTGCTATAAAAATGAGGAGGCCTTTGTCAAAGAACTCGAAAGGTCTTTGCAATTGGTCAAAGATTTGCTTAATACAAAATAGCAACAACAAATTACGATCTACAACTGTTTCAGTATTACCATTGTATTTACAAGAAATCTAGAAAATGGTAAAACTTCTCAAGTACAGATAATAAGTAAATGTAAAATATACAGGCTCTCTCCTGTGACACATTCTGAAGTCGATTTTGTCTTTCGGTATAATATCGAAAAAATACCAGATGAAAACTACCCGCGACATCTTTTTGTGACAAACATAATCAGTTACATGTTATTTCGAAAAAAAGTGGCCAACGTGGATGACAGATTCTAAGGTGTTCAGATAGTTTTGGCATTTTAATTATTAAATTATGATCACAGCTCGCAGCTCTGGAGTTATCAGAAGCTCTCTAGGCTGAACTGGAACTCATACCAGACTAAAATTAAACAAGGCACCTCTGACTTGTCTCAAACAAGCTTGTTGTCGTTGATGACTTGCATGAGAAACGCTTTCTCATTTGTTTGCGTAATGCAGTTGGAACAATCACTCGATCCCAATTGTAAAACACCCCGTTGTCAGTAGT